TGTATCTTTTTCAACTCGTAGGCACTTATTATTTAACAACCTCCTTGCTTCCCTATCAAAAAGAGTCAATCCAATGGTTCCAGTACATCTTGTACGTTAATTGGAATTATATACCTAAAACAAAAAATAATTATGTCATTGTTAGTGTTGTTTTAAGATTGACAAAATTAATAGAAATAATAATATCTATACTTATATAACTGACTGAAATTCAGATTTTTTGCATTGTGCATTTGTACACTCGACAACCATAGTTTCTGAAATTCCTCAGGGTTGGTATACGAATGATTGGTTTTGGGAACCGGGATAATTTTTTTTCCACATTTTTTTGCATGCATTCATAATACCATGGTAGATTCTGCCTTATATTAACATGGAAGCACTAATAAAAACTTCATTTCCTGTATCATATAAAATGTAAAATTATTAAAATAAATTATGCAAAAATAAAATGTAAAAATATAAAATAATGCAATATACCTTAATTGGTTCGGTGATCTCACAGATTGTTTTAATGGAAATTGCCCTTAAAGTCATCTGTATATGAAGAAGAGTAGCTTTGAAGTGTAGTTATGCTTTTTTTCAGTTATATCCGAAATTGTCATGACATTTCAACCTGTAATGTTTAATTTAGATTCATGAATATTAGGTTTTGTGTTTTTTTAAGTTAAAATACATTATAAAAAAATAAAAAACAATTGGAAACTAACTTATTTTTAAACTCATTTATTTCATAAATGTCAGAATTTATGAACAATTTCGTTACTTCAAAATGACTTTTAGCTTCACAAGACCTGTAAAAAATGTATATCCAATTATTAAAATTTATATAAAACAGTAATTATAAACATCTATATATAAAGACTGAATACAAACCATTCCAAATGTTTAGCTTCAAAAACTGCATCACGATACAACAAAATTAACAGTCGGGTTATTTTTTAGGTATTCTGAAATTTGATATGCTTGACTTCCAAAAATAGTAACCTTCAGATGTACAGAACTAAATAAACCATAAAATAGTATATTAATATTAATTTGTGATTAATTAAAGATAATAAATAATAAATAATAATACAATATAATCTCACTCTAGGTTGCTAAGAGTGACTTTTATATAATGCTTGGATGGTACTGGATTTGAAGTTTCAAGAGGCCTAAATGACACGATATGTCCAATAACATCTACACAACAGATACCACAAAAAAATAAAAGTTTAGGATTAAATTCGTAATATTTAAATAATAAAATGTATAACCAAAAAAACAAATGATAAAAATGATTTTATTAATATTTTATGACTAACCAAAGAATGTGTCTTTTGGGCATGTTTGTTCTATGATAGAATTAAAGTCAACAAACATAAATCCATTGACCGGACCCGAGAAATCATCACATTTTTTTAGGATGCTTTTCCAATCCAAAGTTAAGGTCTGTTTATGACCTGTATAACTAAAACCATTAGTAACAGCAGCCATATTGGGTTTATAACTATATAACTTTCATCTTCCTTTAAAAGATGACGAAATCTGGAGAAATTCTGATTGAAGACACGAGCTTGGTATTGTGTACCCTGTTTAAAAAAAATTAAAAATTATTATGTTCATGAAACATGTCTAATATTGAATGATGAATAAAAAATATATCAAATACAACAAACCTCCTCATCCATGATGATCATTTCAATGGAACAAACTTTATTATTTCTGACAAAGTTCCAAATTTTAAGCACCCGAACCTTGATATGCGATTTTTCATCTATCTGGTCAATGTTATTTAGGTAAACCTTATTTCCTATTTCCATTTTCTGCAATAAATTTAATCATTATAGAATTGTAAGGAAAATTAGCAACCTTTTAAATTAACAGCAAATCAAAGTAAATGAAACAGCAAAACAAAAAAAACATATTGTAATAGTTAAAGCTTTGAGGTTGTATGGATTGGGGTTAAAGATGTTCGCATATTGGAGTCAAATGCAGTTCAGTGTAAAAGCAAAAATGTTCGCATTTGGTAATACAAATCAAAATTGGGTTTCGCATATGAGGTTGTATGGATTGGGGTTAAAGATGCGAAGGTGATTATGGTTAATATTCATTTCGTATTTGGTGAGACAAACAACTCAAATGCGAATGAACTAAAAAAAAAATGACTGGAACATGCGAAGAAAGAGGGTGAATGAAGAATGTGAATTTTACAGTAGAATGCGAATTGGGGAAGAAAGCTAAGAATTTCGCATTTTTATTATACAAATTGATTGATTGATTGATTTGTCTTAATTGTTAATTGCGATATATGAAATACTTATCAAGTTAGGGGCAATATGGTCATTTTGAAGTAAAAGAAGCCTTGGTTATTAAATGAATCATACGAAGGATCTGTTATTTGATTTAGGTAAACCTTATTTCCTATTTCCATTTTCTGCAATAAATTTAATCATTATAGAATTGTAAGGAAAATTAGCAACCTTTTAAATTAACAGCAAATCAAAGTAAATGAAACAGCAAAACGAAAAAAACATATTGTAATAGTTAAAGCTTTGAGGTTGTATGGATTGGGGTTAAAGATGTTCGCATATTGGAGTCAAATGCAGTTCAAGTGTAAAAGCAAAAATGTTCGCATTTGGTAATACAAATCAAAATTGGGTTTCGCATATGAGGTTGTATGGATTGGGGTTAAAGATGCGAAGGTGATTATGGTTAATATTCATTTCGTATTTCGTGAGACAAACAACTCAAATGCGAATGAACTAAAAAAAAAATGACTGGAACATGCGAAGAAAGAGGGTGAATGAAGAATGTGAATTTTACAGTAGAATGCGAATTGGGGAAGAAAGCTAAGAATTTCGCATTTTTATTATACAAATTGATTGATTGATTGATTTGTCTTAATTGTTAATTGCGATATATGAAATACTTATCAAGTTAGGGGCAATATGGTCATTTTGAAGTAAAAGAAGCCTTGGTTATTAAATGAATCATACGAAGGATCTGTTATTTGATTTTGGAATTGGGCGAATAATCGAACGATTTGGAGTTGCGAATTTGATTTTGAAAAGCCAATCAGTTGGGTTCGCATATGAAAACAGATAAGTTTTGATTTTATAGAATAAATTTAATGACCATATTGCCAATCAGTTGGGTTCGCATATGAATTCCATTTTCTGCAATAAATTTAATCATTATAGAATTGTAAGGAAAATTAGCAACCTTTTAAATTAACAGCAAATCAAAGTAAATGAAACAGCAAAACAAAAAAAACATATTGTAATAGTTAAAGCTTTGAAGAACAGTTTTTTTTTAAAGAAAATAAAGTTCTCATTTTTATTACTAATTTCGTATTTTGTAATCATTTTCATTAACATTTACGTCTTTTAAACTGAAAAGGTAGAAGAAGAACATGATTAAGAAGAATTAGCAAAAGGAAGAAGAAGAACATCACTAATAAAATGAAAAATGATAGAAACTGGTAAATCAGACAATTAAGAGGTTAGAAATATTAGTAATGCTGATATTTTAATACACTAACCTGATATTATAATTTTTGAAGCGTTGCAGAATCACGAAGAATGAAGAAGAATACGTTTGCAAATATTACTATGGAGCAGAATTCGTCTGGAGCAGAATGGTAAAGAGAAAATAACTGTATGAATGCTATTTACGTTTGAATAAATAAGAACAAAAATTAAGAAGATTACGTTTGAAAAAGAATAATATTGCAGATTTTTAGGGATTTAATTTGCAATCAAAATAAACAAACTTTCAAAATTAATGCGTGTTTTTCGAATCTGAAGATTGACTAACATATTTGTTTGCAGATTTTTCCGGAATTATTGAATTTGGATTGTATGGCATTTACGTAAATATAGATGAATAAAATGAGCGGGAAAACTCTATTTTGGAGGTCTTATAGATTGACACGTGGCAGAGTTCTACTTATTTATTAGAATTAGGATTTGACTATTAACAATATTTATCATACTAAAAACAAAGATAAAAATAAAAATAAAACTCAAACCTATGAATAAATTTAAAATAAAATAAATATATGTAAGAATAATTAAAAATAACTTATAACCTATAACAAAAATACATAATAAAAATAAAACTTATAAGCTAGATAATTATTAATATTAAGATAAACCTTTAAAACACTCAAACGGGTTATTTATTCCGAGTTAAAGTCGGACATCAAAGCTATTTGTTTAAAAAACCAGCCGCATGTTTTCGATCTTTTTAAACAACTTTGTCTGTGTTGCCGCATATATAATAACGTATCCGAAAGAAAAAGAACACTTTTACTTTATAAGTGATTATAACAAAAGATTTCCATTTTAACAAAAAAAAAGTAATATATTATTTTATTTTAACCTAAAATAACAATATATTTTGTTTAAACGTAAAACTTTAAGAATTTGATTTAACCTAAACAATATTTTTTAGTTTTAACCCAAAACTAAAATGTATTTAAAT